TTGCGCATGTAGGAAGGATAAATAGTTTTTTGAATTTGGGAGAAAAATATGGAATACCTATATCCTCACAGAAATTTTTTTGGTTATTTTTATGAATAGATGGTGCTAGTTTGTTCATGAATAATATTGAAAAATAGCATTTTAGAAAAGCAACAAATTATATGGAAGGAGGCGACAAAAATCTGTAATCCACATATTTACATTTTTATTGGTCATGGGTGTTGTTCAGCTGTAGGAAAGCTCACCATATTTCTGTGAGTCGGAAATAGGGTGAAGGCTAATCATGGCAGAAAATGTTTCATAGCATAAATATATAGAGATTACCATTGTTCTTCATTAAATGAACCCATACAAATCTTTAGGCATGATGAACCTTATTTCGCCATGACTATACATTGAATATTTCTTTGGTGAATTTATCTTCTTCAGTCTTTCTGCACTTTATCATAAACTTCCTCACATTCCAGAATACGATTTTTTCAGAAACATTTCAGAACAATTTTGTGCCTTTCTCTCACTTCCAAACTGGTATAGTAGTTAGTAATGCTGATTGCAGCACTGATGGGCTAAGTTTCGATTCTCAAAGAAAGTGTGGATGTTAGTAAGCGTATAGTATCTATGTGGCAGAGGAGCACTCAAAATTGGGGTATTCTTCCCTAAAATTGAGGTAAAACTGGACAGCTAATGTCGCAGGACTCCTCCAATGCGACAAATGATGAACTTTTTGTGTCCTATCCACTTCTGTCTGTATCAGTATACAAGATTGCTTCTTTATTTCACCTGTTCAATGCCTCACAACTTTTTTAAATCTTTAAATGATGCAGATGTCAGTAGTAATGCTCCATAGTTATCCTGGCATTCAAGATATTGATATGCAATTGCAGGTTATAAACACTAATATATAATTGCTTAGTTAAAGCATTATTTCTAGCTTTTATTTAAAACTGGGCAAAGTGGTCTGGGTAGAAAATGTCAAGAAAATAATACATATGTTCGGCCTAGTTATGGTTTGATTTAAATATAAATATGTGTATGTGGACTCAAATATGTATATGGTTTGGACATGCATAGGCTGGCTATAGTTGCATTTATAATCGGAAAGTACCATATGTGGATTCAGAAAGCATTACATTTTCTAATCTGTGAATGGTTTCACAAATAATCAATTTATTGAACAGCATGCTTAACAGAACTTCAAGTGAACTATAGGTTCTGTACAGGTTTTTCGAATGATTTTTCTTAAAATTTTAAATTGACACTATCATTCTATTGGCACCAAAAAATTGTACGCTTTTGTTACTAATCCCAGTGTAAAGGCAACATTTTTTGATAAATTGTGTTGAGAAAATCAGCATCAAGTCAAAAAATTGTAATTATCGTTTACCAAAATTCATTTCTTTCTTAACGAATATAATTACATTTTTGAAGAATATTTTGCATAATAACTGAATAGAGTACCCCTCGATTTATAAACTATCAAAATTACTATAAAATGACAAATAGGGTTATGTTTTATTTATTACCGATATTGGACAGTTTTAACAACTCTCCGCAATTTTTTTTTTTTTTTTTTTTTTTTTTTTTTTTTTTACTGTCTGCCCCCTGAGGACTATTTTTTTCGTTTTTTTTTCCGTCGGTAAAAGCCCGATTCATTTTTCAAATTGTTGCCACCAATATTATCGCCCTGTATTATATTTAAAGAATTAAATAATAAGAATCTGCTAAATGTGTATGTTTCTCGCATTGTGATAAAACTGTACCCTAGCAGTGCTCCGCAACCGGTGTGCCATGAGTAGATATAGGTGTGCCGCAATCAAATACATGTATTTGACATTTTGGCATTTTTATCATATTTAATAAACACAATGAAATTTTTTCCCTTATAATGTCCATTTTAAATGTCACTGTTGTTGATTGAGTGGTCAGCATTTGAATTTTTTCGGCACTCGTAGTTCTCACCTAAGGGCATCTGGAAGCCAATTTCATATTTCGAATTTATTTTTTTTCATTATTCTTTCATATTTTGTAAACTTAAGATTTTTTATTAACAAACTGAACGTTGCAAAGCGGGCCAACATTGCGCGCATGTCAAGACGGATATTTACGCACGAGGTTTCTTACATTCTAATGGTATTTGGCGTACGCAAAGACCTTACAATGTGTTTGCATCAATGACTTTGAATCCTACACTTTTTCAATTCCCTTAAAGAAACACGCCACTTTGGAACGTATATAATCTGAAAAGCTCAGATTTTTATTTATTATTTATTATTCTAAACTCAAATTATTTCGCGCTTCACTTTCTCAGAATGATAGATTCTTCATGAATTTACCAGTGAGCCTGAAATGAAGCTCACTTACAGCTTCGTGACTTTAAATCGTTTTTGAGATTTACGCCGTCTTGCTTAGCAAGCATGCATCGTCGTGAGTTAAAAATCCTCGGTTTTTTTTTTTTTTTTTTTTTTGGCATTGGATGGAACAAATGAAGGACTAATTTTGCGAGGGGTTTTCTATTCTACAACTATTTAATAAATCGTCTTCGCGCATTAAAAGAAAATCGTCTGCGACTTCCTTTCGTAATCAAAAAGGAATCACAATATAGATCTTTTATAAATGTGAAGTTTTTTCCTTATCAATTGCACTACCATTTCGATATTCACTATGAGGATGACTGAATTGATTTTTTGGATATTCTTCTGAGAACAGCCTTGACGCCAAAAGAGGGAGAAATAGCATATTATGGTAGGTTAGGCTATGGTTGTCATCCGATGACGTACTTCATCTAAGAAGACAGCCGTGATACTTAAAACGCAAGAGAAATACGCCGATGTGTAAAATAAAACAGGCAAATCGACAATCTTGTATTCGGCGTCGATTTTGTAAAATCTCAATGGATTTCGAGGGCAAAACGGGTGCCCCTTCATCAGGAGGCCTTATATTCGGCGTAGATTTTGTAAAATCCCAATCCTGATAAAGAGGGATCCGTTTTCCCCTCGAAATCGATTGGGATTTTACAAAATCTACGTCGAATACAAAGGTTTGTCCCCCATTTGCCTGTTTTATTAGCCGTGATACTTTTTCTCTGCTGACGGATTATCCGTAGTAGCAGATCGGGGTACATAATCAGAAAATATTGTTGCGTTTTCTGTTTGCTTATCAACGCGGTATATCCAAAATTATTAAATTAAAAATAACACATAATTGAATAACATATAATTATAGGTATAATCATTGATAATTTATGTAAAAGAAAGTGTCCTAATGTAAATATTTATTTAATGCTTTATTATCTGTTTTCATTTTCTTTGTTATGCTTCCCTCTATTCATCGATGTTCAAACATGGTTTATTCTATAGCTTTTTAGCATTTGTTTATGTGCATTGCATCTATTAACATTTTCTTGTATGCCCTCATTGATACCTAAATTATTATACTTATGCAGTGTAAATGTTTTGCAAACACGGACTTCGTACTCTAGATACCCATGTATGAGAGGAACAATCATATTAAACTTAAGTTCATGATAGTACGATTTACATGGTTAATAACTTTTTCTCCCTGTCAAGAAATGTAAAATAGGTTTACTATATTTCTGTCAGACATATTCTAGTTTCCTTCACTCTTCTCTAGAGTAACATGATATCCATCTTTGTAATATGTGCTTTCATATCCTAGTTAGGATATTGTTCGGAGAACAGCCTTAACGCCCAAATGAGGAGAAACAGCTTATTATGGTAGACCAGGTTATGGTTGCCATCCTATGACGTACTTCCTCTAGGAGGACAGCTTGATATTTTCCCCTGCTAAGGGATTATGAACCTAAAATTTGCTTATAAAGTAGCAGTTTTACTTCGCAGTTGCTAGAGGTAGCTGGCTTAAACCAACACCGACTCTGTGCTTAAACAGATCTCATTTCCAGACTAAACATATTTGTAGTATATTTGTTCTGGGACATTTGTAGTCTCAGTCTGATATTTAGCAGCAAATTTGGCGCCCCCAAGAAAATCCGAATTTTTGAAGTCATTTGAAAAATTAAGTTATGAAGGCATCTTTGAATGACATGGTGAAAAGGGATTAATTGCTTTAAATAGTGGTGCATTTTCACCAGAAAGATAGGAAATTTGAGGACTATAAAATCTTATAATTTGAGAGTTTCAAACGTATCAGATTCCTACTTCGTTTGATTTATGTCCTTCTGAAAGCACAGAAAAAATACAAAGATCACGCCTACGTTTTCATTATTTTTTAAGTGTATTAAAACCATACAAATCATGGCCTGTATATCAAGAAATAACTAAACATACAGTCCCTCAAAAAAAGTATTCGAACACCGGCACCCATCTTAAAAACAGAAAAATCAGGAAATTACCACCACCTTAATAATTAGCTTACCACCACCATAATAATTAGTTGACCTTATGTCAAATTGTAACTCTACCATTATTCTTTAAATAAGCAAGAAATGTCAAGTCATAGTTATACCATTGTTGTTCCCCTACTAAATATGTATATAAAAAACTATGTCAAATTGTAACCAACCATGAGCAAACGTTAATCTAAACACTTGTAAGAATTAAGGGGTGGTCAACTTCGGCTATATCTTTTTTATTTAATCCCGAGTGGAGACTTTATTGTAACTCCAAGATGGAGTCGTCTTTATTGTGAAGGGTCCCTTCGCATGTTTACGTCTCTTTGAACTCGCCAATTCTTAACATTTTTGAATTACAGATGTTAGAGTTTTATACTCTTATTTACACACGCCCCTCTTATATATCACTATTTTTAACTTCTGATTAATTTTTTTTTTTTTTTTTTTTAGTTTGAAATTTCATTTCTCTCTAAAGCAAACAAAATTTAAATATACAAGTTTATTAAATTATATTTATACATTACACATCTTTTATACAAAATTAAATTCAGTTCATTTTCAATTAACTTAATACATTGATTCTGTAAATGACATGAATTCTCCCCACAATTCATTTTCATTTTGGGGAATTGTAGAAAGTCATATTGACTTAGTAAACCTACTAAAAAATTGAAATCTCGTTTCCATTTGCTGTTCTGCCTCTGGAATGTCTGGTTGAACACTAATTCCATCTGAAAAGTTATGGTGAACACTTGGCGAGCACTGAACATTTGGAACGTCTTGTGGATGAACACATAACTCCATCTGAAAAGTTAGGTTGAACAGTTGGCGAGCTCTGAACATTTGGAATGTCTTGTGGTTGAACACTTGACGAGCACTGAACATTTAAAACATCTTGTATTTGAACACTTACTGAAGACATTCCATCTGAAAAGTTAGGTTGAACACTCAGCGAGCACTGATTATTTGGAATGTCTTGTGGTTCAACACTTGGAACGTCTTGGGGTTGAACACTCGGCGAGCACTGAACATTTGGAATGTCTTGTGGTTGAACACTTGGCGAGTACTGAACATTTGGAATGTCTTGTGGTTGAACACTTGGAACGTCTTGTGGTTGAACACTTGGCGAGCACTGACCATTTGGAACGTCTTGTGGTTGAACACTTGGCGAACACTGAACATTTGGAATGTCTTGTGGTTGAACACTTGGAACGTCTTGTGGTTGAATACTTGGCGAGCACTGTACATTTGGAACATCTTGTGGTTGAACACTTACAGAAGACATTCCACCTGAAAAGTTAGGTTGAACATTTTGCGAGCTTTGAACATTTGGAACGTCTTGTGGTTGAACAGTTGGCGAGCACTGAACATTTTGAATGTCTTGTGATTGGTTAGTAATGCAATTATACATTGTAGATGAATCATTCGATAGTTCTACTTGCCACAATATTATTTTAGTGGGCTGTAATACAAAATGCGGTGGCTTGATAGCAGAGGGTGGATGAGGTACTTTAAATACTCCTTCATCCAAATCTTTGCCAAAAAACTCGGCTTCAGATTTATTTAAAAATTCAGAAATTTTCTGTTTTGGTTGTTCCCTTTTCTTTTTCTTTGGAGGAGGTATTTTGGAAGAAGCATACCATCGAGTTCCTTCAAGGTTTTGCATTAATAAATAAGTTATTTCAACTCGTTTATAATACAGCTTATTCTTATTACTTGGAATATGCGGTATAAAAGCACTACAGTTATCTTTAAACGGAAAATCCAATTTTTTCAAACTGGAGATTTGTACAAAGTTATTGATAGCTGTAATACGTTTAAAAGGGAAGACATCGCACACCTCCTCCATAATTCCTCAGCTATCCGAGTTTGTGACCCTTTTTATATTATTCTAAATATTTTCTGTTTATAATCTTTCTGGAAACATCTATTTCCTATTACAAAATTTATTTTCTGTTTTCAAGCCTTTTTATACTATTTCCTCTTGCTTCTGGAAACATCTGTTTCCTGTTATAATTTTTTTTTTGGGGGGGGGGGGGGAGATTGTCCTAAAAAAAGAAAACAAAATTCTTTGTTAGGAATCACTCCATGGTTTGAGTTGTTTAACATTTTAACGCCTCTAGCTTTATCACTTGAGACATAAACTAATTCTTTTAATAATAAAATCTCCTACACTTTAGTCCACACTCCTACACTACAAAAAGTTAGAAAATTAAAGGAATCTCATGAGTAGTTTTGCGTTAATGGCTTCTTCTAATCAAAAAAATTTCATAAATACGTTTTATTTTCATTTTGCTATTTATCTTTTAATTATAACGTCACCATAGATTAAATATATTAATTTTTATAACTAATTAAACATTTCCATAAGATATTACAATAAGATTACATTTTTATAATTCAGTATATAACAACACAATCAACTTATCCAATAACAATTAAATATCATAACGGTTCCGTTTGTATAGCTTATTCTTCAAAAGTCTTCTCAGGTTTCTTTACTTCTATGGTGGAACACAAGTCATCCTCAGCAGGTTCAATATAAAATCGTTTTTTAAATGGGAGATTGTTAATGTCCATTACCGGAGGTCCATACATGTTTAACCATTTGATTTCTTCCTGTTCTAAAATTAATTGGAAATTAGTACATTTAGCAGAGTTAAAGTTTTCAACGTACAAATAATATTTATCATCTTTGTTTGATGAACTCTGAACCATCAGTAGGGGTCTTCGAAGAACCTTTTGCAACCAATCCAAAAATGGAATTTGAATTTGTTTGTTTAAAGTGATAGTTTCAATAATCCACACAATCTGTGGATAATTTAGAAAAGCTGTTGAGGGCTAAGTTTGGTTTTTTCCATTAGAATGCGTTGACCAGTTTAAAGAACATTTTGAAATGTCAAAACATCTTGTTCCATAAAAAATTTCTGAAAAATTGCATGTATACTTCCAGTTAAATGCTATCCTACACATTTTGTAAAATGAAAAGCTTTCATATAAAACGTTCCTCCTATAATGTAGAACAAGTTGATAAAACTTTTATACTTGAATGGGATCGTGGTTGTGATTTGAACATTCACAGCAGGAGAAACAGGAGGACTCATAGGAGAATCCATCATAGCAGGAGAAACAGGAGGAGAATCCATCACAGCATCACAGAGAATTCATCATAGTAGTAGACTCCATCATAGCAGGAGAATCCATGAGAGCCTTTTAAACGAGATTTTCTGAAATAAATAAAAAAGAGGGTGATTTTGCTAGCTTAGAAAAATTTACTTGGAAAGTAAAGACGGTTCATTCAAAAGACTCTCGTAGTAAATGTTACAGTAGCAACATAACCTTTTCAATACATAAAAAGGTACAACTTAGTTCTCATCAATTTTCTAAATATTAGGAAAGCGAAAAACATCTTCATTATGAATAAATATTTACTTACCAAAAACACTTCAAATGATTCTTGAAGTCAGACCTCGTAGTTTCCAATATTGTTTTTTTTTTTAATGAGATTTAAGGTTGTATATATTTAACGTTAAATTATACTCTGTTTTAAGTTAAGTTATGGAGTCCTTTATCATCTTCAGCTTTGGAGGATTTGAATTGATCAGTAATGAAAAGTACGATGAAAGTGTAGGAGATTTTATTATTAAAGAATTAGCTTATATATCAAGTGATAATGCTAGAGGTGTTATATATGTTAAACCACCGAAACCATGCAGTGATTTAACACCTTCCATGAGACGCTATTTTGTTTCTACTTGTCTACATTCATCAGAAACAACTCATGGATTTTCATGGAACGAGGGTCATCTTCTCTATGAAAAATTGGTATCATTTCTCGTTTCATTAACGCCAGGTTATAGTAAAATTTATTGTCCTCAATACTGGAAGGCTAATATTTTACAAAAAAATAATACATCGTGATGTCAATGCGGAACTTACATTGTTGAATATAGATAAAAACTATCTAGTTATCATTGTTTACACCACCTTCCTCTTGTTTAAGGCATTTAGGACAAAACAATTTTTGTGCTTTTCAAAATGTCGTTGTATATTATCGATATCTTAAGGAATATTTAATAGATCAAATGAGTATCCAACACGGTACAAATCGAGAAGTGAATGTTGATAAATATTGGCGAACTTCCCAACAAAGGAATTTTTTTTTTTTTTTTTTTTTAGAACAATCTTAAAAAAAAAAAATATAACAGGAAACAGACGTTTCCAGAAGCAACAAGAAATAGTATAAAATGGCTTGAAAACAGAAATAAATTTTGTAAAATTCCAGAAAGATTATAAACAGAAAATATTTAGAATAATATAAAAAGGGTCACAAACTCGGATAGTGGATTTCTTTCTCGGTATAGTCATTCACTCCTGTAGTTATGCAAGGACTTCTGCTTTGATGCACATAACAGTGTACAGAGAAACGGACTCTTTCAATTGCATGTTTTTCTGCGTTCTATTTTTTACATTTTTTATATATATTATGATCTCTTGTGTGCAACATAATAGAAGTTCAATTTCCAAATGAATAAAAAGTATTCTTGATGGAATCACCCGATAGCTAAAGGCCCGTCTAAACGTAGCGATTTCTTCGGCCGACTAAGCTGGCAGACAATATCTGAGATCAAGGTCTGAAACAGCTCGCCTGTCCACACGGAACAATTTTCTCGCTAGTACAGGAATTCACTCAGCCAATCACTGTGAAAGGGAGTATTCCCGCCCTCTACAGCGTCATGGCGGTTACTACGGATGACTATTTTACGTTAAATTGCTATTATAGATACAGCTACAATTTTAAACTTAGCTATTGCTACAGAAGGGAAAAAAAAAAGAAAATGCTTTGGACCAGAAATTGGGTCAAAAGACGAGAAAGTCATGGTGCCTTCGTAATACCCTGCTCCAGGAGTTGCGTATTGAAGACACGATACAATTCGGAAAGTATTTACGGATGATGCCGCGTGATTTTGATTTTTTGCTGAATTTAATTTGCAGCAAAATTTTAAAAAAATATATATGCTTTTCCTTTGTGTACTGAGTTCACAGATTACTCTTTTTTTATTTTATTTATTTTTTAAAATTTCATTTTCTGGCACTTCTATTTGTGCACTTGAAATAATAATCTTGAAATAATAAAATAACCATGTTTCAGAAAAAATAAGTAACTACTGTTCTTTAAATCTAAACCTTTATTAATGAATAAATGGACAATAATGTCATGAAAATCAAATCAGTATGAGTAAAAAAGTAGTAATAAAGAATAAAGATTACTACATTACAAAGCGACAGTGTACTTTCAATGCAAAAATTTCAAATAAGAAATATCATAAAGGTGCAAAGTCTTAAGTAGTATATTTATTGAACATTAAAAAACTAATATCAGCATAATTAAATAACTAATACAGTCTGAAAACTATTATCATACGACTCTATCGGTTAATCAGCTGATAAAATTTAGCAATATTGTATTAAATTGGGCTGCAATTTGTTTTCGCAATACTCAATTAACACGAAACTGAGTTTGTGACTTGTGACTAACTTTTGAGCTGGTAGGCAACTACTAAAGTTTTCACCAGTAGATCTAAAACACGGGCCAACGGCCATTCGAAAAATAAAGTCGTTAAAATTCAATAAACACCACACTCGTAGGCGAAAAAATAAAAAGTGACTTTCAGTGGCGTAGCTAAGGTTTTCAGCGCCCGGGGACACCTAAAGATTTTCCGCCCCTTTCTGTGTTCCAATAATGGAAAACATTTCATTCTGTAATGTGTATCATCAATTTGGCGCCCCCTGGATGCTGCGCCTGGGGCGGATGTCTCCCTTTGCCCCACCCTAGCTACGCCACTGGTGACTTTTATGTCATGCAGTTCGAATTTAGTGATGGAGAAACGAAATTCCTTGCAGGCGCAGAAAGTCCAAAATTAGGGAAAGGGATTGTGAAGTTGAACCTCTACCTGATTATTATCTTTATTTTGATGTAATTTAGTAAATCGCGATTGGCAACAGTTGAGTTTTGACATCTACGCTTTCGAGTTTGTTCTATAGTTTTACTTTTCGTTTTAAGTAATAAATAATGACTTTTTGAGATGTTTTTCTTGAGTATTTAAAAAACTGAGAGTATTATTTTATGCTATTATGTTCTGAGTATTGCTTTGAGGTGACAAAGCTAACTAACACTTAATTAGACTTGTAAATAGAATCGTAATATTAAATGTTTGTGTTGTGAGAGATTTCTTCATTGATAATTGATTGTATACTCATTTTCCATCATAATTCTTCTGATATCGAAGGTAAAACGGGATATCTGGCTCCGCGAAGGACACGGCTGCATTTATTAAGAGTGAGTGAAAAAATATTTTTCTATTTTCTTTTTTCTTGTGGCATTATGATATTTTTGAAAGATAGAAAGCACTTAGAGGTTGTTTACTCGAGCATGTAATGCTTTTGATCAAGAAAAAATCAAATTAAATCGTGCTGATAAATTAATAAATTAAAGCTAATTGAAGAGAAAGCTTTATTAATGTGTGAAGAGAAATATAAACATTTGTTGTATTCTGAAAGTACTTCCGATACCGAAATAGAGAAAGTGGTAGATGAGTCAGAAACATATATATATTGATCGATGGAAGATTCTTTAAAACAGAAGCTAGAAACACTAGTCAGTGAAAAGCAATTATCTTCTAAAAATGTAAATTTGACCATGTTGTTTCGCAGCCGAACACTTTATTACATTATACCCAAAAATAAAATTACCTACTTTTGACGGTAAGTGTAACGAAATTGGCTATACTTTTGGGAGGTCAGTTTAAAAAAATTGATTGAGGACATTAATATTCGATTTTCACGATAAATTTTCGTATTTATCTCAAGCAATTGGAAAAAAGGCAGTCCTCTGAAGAATTATTAAGAGCTATCCCCCCGGGGTAATAGTTACGAAACAGTGAAATCGTTTCGGCAGAGGAACTATTGATCAGGTATATGTCAGAGACT